GGCGGGGCCCCCCGCTGCTCCCAGTGGCTCGCCCTGGGGGCCAGCTCCGAAGAGGCTCGGGAGCCCTTCCGACTTGGAAGGGTTTCGGGTGTACTCAGTCCCTCCCCAGGTCGCCCGGCGTCACTCCTTGGTCCCAGGTCTCAGCGCATTTGCCACCCTCATCCCCGTGTCCCCTTAGAAGGAAAGAAGCCTGGCATTCCGCGCCGGGCGCAGGGTGAGGCGCCTGGGTCACTAGGTGTGGGCAGAACCCTTGGTGGTCGGCTGTAAATGACCCCGGGACTGGCGTTCGAGGCCGTCACGAGTTAGCTAGCTGGCGCCTTCACTCGTTCCTAGCCCCATGGCGTTTGAAACTTGGGGACATATTCCCTCGGGCTCCCTCCTCAGCTCCCTTTCCTCAGTGTGGGCACTGGGTAGCGCTCCTCGCCCTTGGTTATGGGTAGGAAACCGGCAGCCTTTCTGCGTAAGGAAGAGGGTTGCTGGCATTTGCCTTCTACCGTGGCCTCCCTGTGGCTGTGACTTTTTCTGCTTTTGATGAATGGCTAGGGAGGGTGGAGAATAGTTACATTTCCTGTTGTGGATTTTCAGGAATCACCTAGGGTGTTCTCAAGCCTGCAGTCACTCAGTTTTTAGATCGGCTACAAGTAGCACGAGAGCTTCGAAGCCTGCCCTTCTTGATGCTTGAGCACTGGTACTGACGGGGGTCAGGGATGGTCTGGGTGTGAGGCAGGTGCACACTGCGTAGGTCATCCCGTTTAACTTCATGAGGCGCTTAGATTCAGATCGGCATCCTCAGATGTCCCCAGTCCCTCCTCAGTCTCTTTTTTTCTGAGAGAAGGAATGCTAATAAAAACTTAAAACATCCTGGGAACATCTGTCTGCCTAAGGAAACTTCAGCAGGTCGAATATTGGGGGTTTAAACTGGCTTTTATCTCTAGAGGCAACCTTGGAACATCTATTGATTGGTGTGACAAAGTCCAGAATTTCACTGAAACTAGTGAATGATTATAATTTATAACTTAACCTGTTGTGTAGATTTTGGCCTCTTAGATCCAGGAGTTTTTGTCTGTTATGTTTTGTAACAGCTTCTTAAAATTAAACACATATTTCATTTACATTTTTTTTTCTGTTGACCTCTAAAAGTTAGAGATAATTCTGCATCATTTCAGACAGGATTACCTATGAAAAATGGTGTCATAATAAATGAGGGTTTGTGGTCACATTGGAAGCTGATTATGGCAAACAGGTGGTTGCCTTAAAGTACAGACAGCACTATGGACTATGGCCTCAGTTTTCTCTTACCCCGCCTTTTGAAATACTTTATTAGGCAAACATTCGGCAGAAGAGAACTAGTTAGAGATGTTTAAACCTAGTAGTGGAAAGTTGGAAACTTTGGATGTCCAACGTTTGACGTGCATAGGTTTTCTCATGTGACCAAGGACATCTTTTATATATATCCCCCCAGGGGGGATGGCCATGGTGCAATCCCTTCTCCTCCATTCTCCTCTCGGGATCTTGGGCATGCGCGCACACGCGCCCGGCGTGAGTTTAAGCCACCGGGTCTGGGATGTGAACCGCGGTCGACTACGTGGGAGTCCAGCGACATAGCCATTACGCTAACTGCTGGTTCCCAGTGACTTTTTTTTTTGTCCTGTCAGAAGAAAAACTAGATGGTATCCATGGGTACCAAATGATGTGGAAATAACAGTGATTGAACCAGGGTATTTTCCACTTTTTATATCAGATGAAAACTATTCTCCGGTCTCACTGTGCTTTAGTCTGCATTTTTTTTCACTATTCTGAGACTCTCCAGTTCATTACATGTTTTTACAAGTCTGTCCTTAGCTCATTTTAGCATTTCGCAGTCCAGTCTTTAAAAGGACTTGGTTAACGTAAATTTGTTGAATGCTTACTGTGTGTTCATACAGTATAGGTGAAAATAATGAGTGAGATGCCGGGTCCGTGCACGCGCACCCAAGATCTGGAGAGGAGAATGGAGGAGAAGGGATTGTGGCGTGGCCGTCTTCTCGGCGCTGAGGGGATAATTTCTTGCTTTCTTCTCTCTCTATCTTTCTGGCAAGCACACACACCCTGTAGCAAAAATCTCTCAAAAAAAGAAAATACTATGTGAGGAAATATGTGAAAAATAGAGCATATGTTTATAATATGTATAAAATGCATAGATACTATATAAAAATAAATTGCTGCGAATGTCACAATTACTACTAATTAAAAGGTCGTTTTTCTTCCTCCACATGGATGTGGTGTGTTCCTTTCCACACAGGCATGGGAAGTCAGGATTCTCCACCTCTGTCTGTTCCACTTGTGCCCTACTTTTGACCCGAGTGTGATCAATATTTGGTGCATAATGCCAGCTTACTGCATAATGGGCAGTAAGACTGGGGGTGGGGGTAGCTAGTAGAAAAGTGTGTGCATATGTGTGTTGTGTGTGTAGGCTCGGTTAAAGCAGATTTATCGGTAAAGAATGATACATTATTTGCAGGGTCCAGATTCAAACTTGAAACCCACTTTTTTTTTTTTTTTTAGAAGTTTTTGCTGTAGGGCTCGTAGCTTGCCAGAAAGAGAGACAGACAGAAAGCGAGAAATCACCCTCCAGAAGGGATGGCCACGCTGCAATCCTTTCTCTTCCATGTTCCTCTCGGGATCTTGGGCACACACATACAAGCACCCGGTGTGAGTTTAAGCCACTGGGTCCCGGACTCGAATCGCAGTTGACTACATGGGAGTCCAGCCACATAGCCATTACACCAACTGCTGGTCCCTGAAGCCCACATTTTTATCAAGCACCTAGAGAAGTACATAGCCAGGACATCTGGTCCACAGGTGCCTGATGCTGAACTGGAACCTTGTTCCAAGGACTTCACCTGGCCCTTCCCGATTCAGGGCAAGCTGCAGGCCTGTAGCTCCCAGCTTTTGTCCTTCAAGGAAGCTTTAAAACAACCCTTCCCCCGAGCCAGCAGCTCCATCTTTCTACAAACTATCTCTGAAACAAATTGTATTTACTGGGCAAGGCTCGGTGTGCCTGTTTTTATTTCACAGAACACATATGACTTAGAACTGATTGACTTAGAAAACTAATACCAAGTCTAGTTGATCTCATTCCAGCCAGAGAATTGGGTGTTTGAGGCCGCCCGGAGAGCTCTGTTAGATATGTTTCATGCTGGTGAGCTTCCTGAGGTACTGAAACCAGCCGGGGACACTGCATCAGTAATTAGTTCTGTTGAGGATCCAGGAACCCCAGGCAGTGATGCTAAATGAAGACTTCATTTTGTTAAATGTAGAAACCTGAGCCAGCAGGTGGCGTGGTGGTAAAGGTGCTGGATTCCCACATGGCCAGCCCCAGTTCCTGCCCGGTGTGTGTTCATGCATGCCCAGAACCCCAGGAGGAGTGTGGAGGAGAAAGGATTGTGGTGTGGCCATCTCCCCTGGGGGGTGATTTCTCATTTTCTCTCTCTCTCTCTCTCTCTGACTGAGGCAAACACATGCCCTATGGCAAGACCTAAAAAAAAAAAAAGTAGAAACTCCTGCAGTTTTGTTAAATGAACAGAAACATCATGCTATTATTTCATTTATTTACTAAGTGTCTGTGGACAATCAACTTTGTACAAGGCTCTGTGTGCTGGGAGGTATCGGAATGTACAGCCTGGAGTTGACTTTTAATATTTTTATTAACTCTAATCAGTTCTCTCTTTGGGACCTTAGTTTTCCTGTTCGTAAAATGTGGCTAGATAGTT